CCCTCCCTGCCATTAGGAATCCTATTGCCCTTTTTGCTCACCGAATTTCATACCTTTCCCCTCTTATCATTGTTTTAATGTTGAACAAAGGGAGGAGGAAGCTGCTCTTTAGTACCTGATACTTGGTTGTCACTTGTACCAAAGAGTTCCTCTTGGATATTGTCTTGGAAAGCACTTGTACCAAAGAGTTCCTCTTGGATGCTGTCTTGGAAAAAAAGTGTAGTTAGAAATTGTCTGTGCTCTCTGACCACTTCTAACAGTTTTCCAATCGTTTTTCCAGAGAAATCAGCACACACAGGTGCTGCAGTAAGTGCAGACACTGCCCAAGAGCTCCTGCAGCATCTTGGATCTCACACGGTGTGTCCCTCGGACCTGGCTCACCTGCACCGCCTGAAATCCCTCGTGCTGCTGCAGGACACTGAGAGACTCCAGGATGCTCTGAGGCAGTTCCAGGAGCAATCCACCATGCCTCCTGGTACGTACCAGTCACCCACCTTCACTCACTGCTTAGTTTTGTGCGTGGATTAAGATTCAGGTTTATTTTATTAGGAAGTTGTAAATCACTGTATAGTGCCAAATATGTGCTTGGGCAAGACTTGAAAGCTTAATTCCCCTCAAAAATATAGTGACTTCCCTGTTATTCAGTGCAGGAGCTTTTCTCCTTTTGCAGCAGCTACAGAACACAATGTGATTAAGGTTCTTAAACCAATGTGTTTTAAATCTGAAGTGTTTTAAGATTTAATCTTATTAAAAGGCTATTTTTAATGCATTCCCTTTGTGGACTCTTCAGATCACAGGAATTAACCTATTTATCTTGAAGGTTTCACTCATCCAGTTAAGGATTAATTCGACATGGATAAGAATTAATAAAGCCACTCTCTTTTCTTTCCTGGTCACCTTAGAGGCTTCTTTGACACACAGGTTTTGCAAGCCAAATTTCCATTTGCAGCTTTGCTTTTGTTGAAATGCAAATGTGTGCTTTAAGCTTCTGAAAACTGCTGATGACAATGCGAAAATGTGAAGTCACTTTTTATGACTAAGGGTGTTCTAAAGTCATTCATAAAAAGAGTCCTTCTGTTGGTACATCTTTCCCCCGAGGCAGGAGCTGATTGCATTCTGCTGCCCTTGCTCTCTGGTTAAGTCTTGTACTGCAGCAGTTTCTCCGTGTCCCTCGGGGCTGTGGGTCAGTCCCTTGTCCTCGGGGGCTGTGGGTCAGTCCCTGTCCCTCGGGGCTGTGGGTCAGTCCCCTGTCCCTCGGGGCAGTGGGTCAGTCGGTGTCCCTCGGGGCAGTGGGTCAGTTGGTGTCCCTCGGGGCAGTGGGTCAGTCCC